CAGATGAATAAATCCCACTCTCTCATCCGAGAGCCATGTTCCTCTGTACGGAAGAGTGCGCAGGGAGCCGCGTGGCTGTACACCTCAGCCCTCCGCTTGTGGGGAACCCCTTCCCACACATTTCCCTTCCCCCCGTACACAGCAGCACAGCTCTGGCATGGGCTCCCGGCACACCCCTGCTGCCAGCCAGCTGGGCATGTCCTTCACCCTCAGAATCGGTGCACATCCGCCCATGCACTTTCCATTAGGTCGCTCCTTCTATTATTTTCTTTTATTTTGCATGGCACGTTTCCACTGTGACAATACAACGCAGGCAGCCTGCTCCCTGTTCCATTCGGCGGGGCTATTTCTCTGCATTAGCTTCGCCCCCTGAAGGATCACTGGAGCTGTCTTGCCCTGACAACTAGCTGACAACCGCAAAGCACCTCTAGTTTTACAACCTCCTGAATCAACTGCCCCGTCCTGGGAGGCGTCTGCATCGCACCGCCAGGGAACGGCTGCCCGAGAATCGTGAGACAGCAGGCCGATCAGGAGGCGGACCGGCATCTTTCAGAAAGAAGCGCAGGCCAGGCGGGGCCTTTGCTGGTGTCAGAAGCACCTCCCCTGGGGGATAAGAGGTGGTGCTGTGAGGGGCCCGGGTGGCACGGCGCGCTGGCACAGCTCAGCTCCCTTTGTCTGTTCGGGTGCCAGCAGCGTCTCCCTCGTGCCCACTTTGCACAGGCGCTCTGCCAGCTACAATGCAGCAGTCTCTTTAACTTTCAGCCCGAGTCCGCCTGTGTGACAGGATCATTGATATGCAGGGCAGGACAGTGTCACTCTGACAAGATTCTAATAAAGATAAATAATATCATTACAATAACAGCTTTTTTTTTTTTATCCTGCAACCAATTATTTAATTCAACTGCGGCGCACGCAGTGAAATGCCTTTTCTTTTTAACTCCCGCACTCCGTGACAGCGGCTCGGCACATTAACTCATTGGGTCCCATCGTCGCCGAGCAGGTCTGACAGCCCAGGGGGATGGTTCTGTCCCCGACGAGGCCCGTGCAACTGAACCGGGTACTTTTCCTTCACGTGACGGGCCATTCTTCTCGACTCTCAATCCCATTGACGACAAAAAACAAGCTGAAAAAAGTTATAAACAGAAAGAGCTGAGGACGAGGGCACGGGGAGGGGTAAAAAGGCTCTAGGATAAGCAGGAACTTCAAACAAGCCTGCAACTGTGTAGTAGCAGAGTGGCAGATGCCTGGAACAAACCTCCCAGCTGTTTTTCATGAGCTAACTACCTAGAAACAGCTGGTTAAAACAGTGGGAGAGACTGGCTGCAAGCAGCCCCAGGAGCCCCAGGAGCACAGAGCAAGAACAGGTGCTGTTTCCATGGTGAGACGGTAACGAGCCCCAGGCGCTGCACTCTGAGCTAGTGGTGGTCCGAAAGCAGGTTGTGCAATTAAAAAACGCAGAAGAGCAGGCACGCTCCTGTCTTTGTCGCATGACTCTGGGCTCGGGCGCGCGGCCAGGATCACACAGAGATCTCCGGCACCATTCCCGTCCGCACTAGAAACTTTTCCGCGGGCTGCAGTGTCTGCCGGCAGGAGGTCAGAAACTTTCTGTAAATAACGGCTTTTTACTGCGGAACGGGAAAGAAAAAGGCATCATGAAAACAGCAGCTGGAGAGCATTATTCTCCAGCACAGTAGGATATTAAAAGAAGGAAACGTGTGGCCCCGTGTATGACAGAAGCCAGTCACACTGGGCCAATCAACGCTTTTCAACAGAAGAGGACAAATCCCTGGGAGCTCGGAAACAGGCATGTGTTTGGTAGAGGCAAGAGGGAGGGAGAATCGCAGAGACGTGGGGTGGGGGGGGTGTGTGGTTATATTTGAATGTTAGTCAGTTCCACAGGGTCTCGAGTATAAACCAGAACCAGGACAGTAAGAAAACCAAACCCGTAATGTAGTCTGATAAGAGCCTGGAACAAACGGGCATCCCGAAAAAGAAGCCGTGGCTGCAGGAATCCTGAGATGCAGAAAGGGTTAGAGGAACCGGCCGAGCCGTACTAAGCGAAGTCAGCGAGGGGGCTGTGGAGCTGGACAGCTGCTCCCAGCGCTGGCCAACAGAAGCCACTGCGCCCTGGAGCAGGAACAGACTCTGGAGGGGATGGGTGGGGGGGGTCAGGGGTCGCGCCCGCTTGTCTGACTGGCTCCCCCACTCAAGTCCAAATCAAGTCCTGGCCTTTCAAACCCACATTTCCGTTCCTCCACACTCAAGGTCCACAGCCATTGGTTAGCGCTGTATCCCATGTATGTGTGTGCTGCAACAACTCTGTGAGAAACCCACATTACTGGCGTGTTTTTTTTTCCAATCGTGACTCAAATCCTATTTTTAATCTCAGGCTTATTCTAATACTTAATCTTGTTATGTTCAATTTCTATTTTTGACTGCTCCTGTAAATCGTCCGCGCGGCGCTCTTAAGACTCGCACCACGTCGAATTGTTACTGGAGCACGAAAAACCTCACCCCTTCGAGAAATGTCTGAAAAATGGACGCAGAAACATTTCTCCTCCGGTGCAGGGGAATGGCAGGCTGAGAACCCACAAGCTCGAGGCACGCACAGCAGATGGTCACGCACTTACGTTGAGGAGCTGGTCGAAAGCGAAGTGGAAGCCTGACTTGTAGTCCGTTGTGCCCTTGGCTGTCATGTTCTGCACGTACTCCTTGAAGACCTTCTTGTTGCGCACGTTGGCCTGCACCAGGTGTCCGAAGCAAGGCACCACCCCCTTGGCCTTCTCACTGAACTGGACAGACAGAGAGAGAGG